GTATATTGTGATCATTATGCAGTGTTTTATTATTAAAATACCCAAGTTATTAGGGTTAAAATAATGTATAATTATATAATCAATTAACAATGATTATAAACAAATATATTGATGTATGATTTTTTTTTTTACTTTAAATATTTTGAAATGTATACCCAAGTCAGGGTTTAAATAAATAATATATACAACCATGTAATCAGTTACAATAAACTATAAACCAATTTATTATCTTACACGTTATTGTTTGGTTTTCTTTTTTTTTTATTATAATAATATAATATGGTTTGATATTAAATGCATTTTGAAATTTATTAATTATGATTTATAATATTTTTAAGAGGAAAATATCATAAAAATGTTATAACTCATGTTCAACATATGACAAGGAACATATGGCTAAAATATTTTGTAGGTATGTAAATATTACATCACATGTTGAAAATATTTTGTATAAATGTCAGCTCTTATGACAATCACATCATTGAATTTTATCAAAATATGATAGAAATATTGTGATATATATTTCTAACATATGAAAAGATAATATGTCTAACACATTGCAGTAAATATTTCCAAAATATTATAAATCCATATAAAAACCATGTGATCATTTCTGCCAAAATGTGTATAACACATGTATATTACATTTCTGTGATATAAATTACATGCAAAGTTAATGTTTGATGATGTTTCAAACATATTGACATGTTTTTTAAAAACATTATTTTCATATGATAATCATATGCCTTTGCTGTGTGGGTAAGTATGTTATATTTTCGATATAAATGGGAAGGAAAATGCTGATTGATACATTTTTCTAAATTAAATGAATAAACGAAATATTAATTTCATATTTAATTATTATATAAACTAGGTATATTATATTATATTATTTAGTATACTTAGTTATTATTATTTGAGTGACCGCAACTAGTACCTAATTTTTGATTATGACCGCAACTACCTAGTACACTAAGAAAAAATATTATAATAGTAAATTATTATGTCATATCTTGATAAACAGATGTTCTCCGATGACCATGGACAATGTTTAGAAATTAAAAAAGAAAATTTTAAATATAAAAAACAAAAAAAATTTGTCAAGTGGTACTCTGCGGGTTGTAAGTCACTGTTAAGCATGTATTAAATTATAATTAAATGCTATATAATTGTAATTTGTATACATAAAATGATTCTGAGCTCAGCAGGAGCGGATAGGCCTATAGGGAAATCGGGATTTTCACAGTGGGCCCCTGTCCGTACCTAATTATGGGTTTCCTAGTCTCAATACCGTATTTTATGTTTTAAATGTTATTTATCATTATCAAACAATGATATAATATCAATATATATTCAGATTAGAAAATAGTTTATTTTATTGGTTTATATAATAATAATGAAAAAAATACTTTTGCGCTTACGTTAATTATACATGGCATTGTAGTATTGTAAGTATAAACATTGAATATAAATATTAGCTTATAATTAGGGCAATTTTTCTTGATCTACTGTATTAACATTTTCATCTTCAGATTGTGTACAGTAATCCTATAAAGCATTTTTTTCTTGTCAAATATTTCTACTACAACATTGGCATAATATAAAAACTCACAAAATGATTCAGTTTTGTATTTTCCAGAATGGAACCACTTAGTGGCTTTTGAGGTTTTAGATTATTCTGATGACGAAACAGAAAAAAAATGAAGACAAGAAATATGTTCATAACCTAAAGAAAAATATGAAAAGTCAATAAATAAGGAAAACAGCCCCAACCCTCCTAGTCATGGTGTTGTGAGATTTAACACCAACCCAACGACTTTACACTAATATCTTATCAAAATAATTACAATATTCGGATACAACTAATTTAATAAAGTATTCATTTTTATAATTATGGAAATAATGATGGTCAAAGTCCCAGACAATTCCGACCAATGTTCAGTGTTTAAGTTCTATGGAGTTCAATCCTCAGAAAATATTCCTTAAATTTTGTAGTAAACTTTTTTTTTTTTTTTTGTAGAATCTTTGAAACGGACCCTGTAGAAAACTTTACTTACAGTTCCATATACATATAATATTCTTCTTAAAACTTGTTTTCCCAGAACCACAAATATCCAGAACAGATCATAAAAATATGCATCCACGATAACTGAAATAAAAGAAAATTTCAATTTAATAAGTATGAAAAATTGTACTTGACAAATAATATTTGAGCAATATGTTTTTTTTTGAGTATTTTACATTTTCAAATTTGAAAGTAGTTGATCACAAATTTGATAATTATACTTGCCCAAAGTGTCAACAACATTTTTTAAATATCCGAATGAGCATTAGACATTTAGTTTTGTCAAATGATACTTTAAAATCTTCATTGGGTAGGAAATGACAAATATCTAATTCTCTTTTGATCTTAACATAATCATCATTTGAAAATGAATTGAGTGATATTGAAAAGATGATGTATTCGTGATCAAAATCAATCAATTGGTTATCACTATTTGAATCATCATCATACTTAGTATCGCTAAGACCAGAGCTAAAACATTAAAATATTGTAAAACATTATAAGTTTTAAATTAATTAATAAGTATAAAGAAGTTTAAAATAGCATGCGTGAGAAATAAATAAATTACATAATCAGTCCATAATGAATATATTAAGTAGGTAGTAATAACTTTTTTAATGTTAAGTAATGGTAAATGTTATATGTTATTGCATTATACTATTATAATATGTTGCTATATTATTAAGTTGTATAGCAGTTTATGCATAACAATGAATATGTAGATACGTTGTACACAATTTGTTTTCTCTCTATGGCCCTCACTCAATATAAACAAAATGCATTTACGCAAAATCATTTTTTTTAAGTATTTTAATTATTTAAGAGTAAAATCACGCATTACAAAAAAAATAAAGAGTAACAATTTTGAACAAAATGACATATCAATATTAAATTTTATTATTTGATTTTGAAACACTCAAAATAAACAAAAAAAGTGTAAATTGAATTGATGTTAAAATTGTTTTGAGACACTATTTTGACAACTCGATGTATCATTCCCTCAAAAATATTATTCTCAATTTTTTTTTTGTACTAAATTTGTAAGTACTAATTCCAGAGATCTTTAATAATATTGAAGATTATTATATTAAACTTTCGGATTATTAATTAAATTAAATTTGTTTATAGTTATTTCACAAATATTCTAGTTTCTAAGTGTTGTAATATGTTATACTTTTATTTACAATTTTTGTTAGTTGTAACTAACTTTAAAAATATAGAAAATAACAGTTAATCAATAGGAATTACTCTCATATTTAGTAAGTTATTGTATAATAATTGTGATGGTTGAAATAAAATATGACATTACTACAGACTACTATACCAATAGTATTGATATAGATTTATGGTTTTCGTAGAACATTGTTTCTAACATAAAGATTAAGTGATTAAGTGTTATTGAATTTTTTTTTCAAATTMATCAACAAACACACTGAATATTCTGATTCCGAGCCATTGCCCATTACTTTTAAATAATGCTACCTATAGTAGGACTCACTTGTTATTAATGTTAAAGGTAAATGGTCAGACCTGTCAGTGATTGTCCATTATTCAGTTACAACTGTGCATGTATGATTTGAAACAGTGTTCTGAATTATCGCTCAAGATGATGAATGCTGCAGTAGTGGATTAAGGCATTGGATAGAGAAGTTGATCAACGGATATAAACGAGAGAAATGTATAGACTGCAATGTCTCACCACATTGTTCTGAAATAACAACATTTAAAACGATGTATTACTACGAGGTTAATAACAATTTAAAACACATTCACAGTTTCTCAAGTGGGTGATAATAACGATACTTACATGATCGATTAACAATAAAATAGCTTGGCTAATGCCGCATATCAAGGAGGTGTTACCATTGGGTTTCTTCCTCATCACGTCATTCATGCTACTTTATTCTGTTTTTATCGTATTTGCTTATTGTAATTACTGTGTACAGATTGTAAATTGTCTTACTTGATTAAAAAAAAAAAAAAAATGCCGCATATGAGCGACGTAAAGGAGAATAAGTGATTTCCACTCACGGCACACCGAAACTCTCATGGTGTTTGCGCAAATAACGTTCGTCGAGACGGGAGTAAAAAAAGGAGAACACTCTTTTCGGATAATGAAGTAGATGCGTTGATAACCAATTTATTATTTTCGCATTGAAACGTACCTATGACCTATGTCAAATAATGAACACGGGAMTAATCAATATTGTTGGAAAAATAAGCATGGATACTCGACAACGGTCGGCGGTTCACGGTGCTATCGTCGAGAAACGCAAAATGGGTTCATCGTGAGATACGCCATGCGCGGCGGTGTTTACATGAAAAACAACTCGTCACAGTCGATCCTAAATTCCTAACCTAATAACTAATGAGGAGCGAAGAACAGTAGAACGAAAGACGAAAAATCGAGTTGTCCTTTCATCCTTTGTTCACACGACGCAATGGCGGCGTTGTGTACATCKTAAAACGAAAGCCAATGGCTGCACGGRACTCTGCGTGGGTAACGAAATCGTTGGTGTGTCAAGGAACATATACATACAACATACAGTAATCGCGGRCTTTTCGTCTAGGTCAACTATTAAAATAAGACATTTGGTACCATCCTAGTATTTTAAATTAAAAAAATTAAATCACTTTCTATTTAAAATATAATTATAAATATATTATCTAGCCACTAATTGTCATCAGTCGAATTGAATTTTTAAATAATGTAATATATATTACAAAAATTAATTACATTTAGGCATAATACAAATGCATATTTTACGTAATTATTTATTTTTMTTTGYTYCAGTCACTATTTATTTGAAATTTTAAATCTCAATGACGGGAATTGAC